AAAATTATCTCATATGTACATTTACATTTTGGTTTGGACTCAAGGTGACCACAGAAAAATGTTCCCTCTTCAGCTGAATTGGAAAACAGCCCTATAGTGTCAACCTCTGCACATGCACCATTCTCCACTGTGAGGCTCAAACGTCCAAAGGAGAGGGGGACATTAAAGTTAACTGGACCAGCTTAAAAGGCAGCTTACATGCTAATGCAGTTTTCACCCACAGAGTTCCTCACGACAATTAATATAATCTTGATGTGTAAAATTGGTAAAATTTCTAATGTACTTATAATGGATTATTTATCACATTGTCAATTCTTCTTCTTCTTCTTTCGGCTGTTCTCGTTAGGGGTCGCCACAGCAAATCATCTGTTTCCACCTAACTCTATCCTCGGCATCCTCTACTCTCACCCCAATTAACTTCATGTCCTCTTTTAGCACATCCATATATCTCCTCTTTAGCCTTCCTCTTGACCTCTTGCCTGGCAGCTCCATCTCCAACATCCTTCTACCAATATAACCACTATCCCTCCTCTGCACACGTCCAAACCATCTCACTTTATCACATTGTCAATACTCATCCTTATCTTTCTGTCCCCAGTTCCATGAACGCTTCGCTGCCTATCAGCATTACTGTTGGGAAGAGGCAAACAACCTCGAGTTTGCACGCAGGCAGATGGAAAGCAACCCCCATTTCCTCACTTATGTTCAGGTACAGAAAAGCACCATGCAACACAAATGTGTGTATGAGAATGAAAGCTCAAATCACATACATATGCTGAAAAACGTACCCACACTAACCCAATTATTAGTGGAATTCAGTGTAATAACTAACTGTTCTGTTATTAATAGTGGCTCTCTGTGGTTTGTGATGCTTCCATAACTTTGTGGGTGATCTGTCATTGCCACTTCCTGACTGGCAACCACTTGTCACACCAACATCTTCTTCAGATGATTCAGCCTTAACAGTATTTTAACATATTTATAGTGCAGCAACCTGAGTGCAGTATGCTTTAGGAAAAGTTATTGCATGACAGGCGGCACAGTCCTGTAGCCTAGAAAACCAAGCACAGGAATGACATTTAGTGCACTAAATAATGCACACTTTTGATATAAATATACTGTAGCATCCTACATTATTAACAATGCTGTATTGTGTGTGAATAAAAGTACTACTAACTGTTACTTTCCCTTATGTCATACCTGCACAGTTGTCAAACTGAGTGGGAGGTGATATGTTTTTGTTTAACAGTTAAAAGAAATATTTTACCAGAAATGTTACATAGTGGGCGTTAAAGTGTCTGGTGGTCCAAGTCGTACAAAACAAAAACATTTCACTTAGTCTTTGCGGTAGTTTTTGTTTTGGTACATGTGGTTTTATTTGTCAAGCTTGTGAGATGTCAGCCACTGAGTCTTTTGCCACCACTCCCATACACTGAAGGAGAATGGAAGAAGTAAGAACAAGTGTAATTTTCCAATGCTTCAAGAAGCAGCAACAAATTAAAACCAAAACTATCTGCATTTAGGTGACTGTAGAATGCAGTCTGATACTAATCTGACTAAACTAATCGCTTAAGTTCACGTTTTCAGCACTGTTTTATTCACAATTTCAAGAGACTGAAATAGAAATACTTCACATCTGAAAAGCACCAAGTTGAAGCTACAGTATGTCCTTGTGTTTTTTTTTTTCCTGTTCAGTGGGTGGAGACTCACCCTCAGTGTGAGCGGATGCAGCTTGGAAACATGCAGGCCCAACCCCATCAGAGGATCACAAAATACCCCCTGCTGCTCAAAGCTGTACTCAAAACCACCCAGGACCCTCATGTACAACACAAAGTCAGAGGCATGGTGGGACAACTTTAATCACAACACTTTCACATAGCACAAATGATTTGTCCTCTACAGAACAACAAACACCCTCTGACTCACAGTAAATCATCCATCTTCTTTCTAGTTGTCTGGTGTAAAGAGTTTTGTGGAGCGTATCAATGACTATCTGAGATTTAAAGATGAGGAGCTTGCTCTCTCCATCTCTGCTCAGAGAGTGGAGGGATACGAGGTGGAGGGAATAAATGAAGAGATTGACAAGGTAAAATCTTCTATTCTTGAACACCTTTGTAGACACTTTTGTGTGAATCACAGAACTAGTTTCTGCACTACGTTGATGAAGAAGCAGATTACATCACACCTATTGCACCTTTTTCACAGAGGACATTTAATTTGTCACAGTGAGAAACCCACAGGTGTAAATAATAACACTAATGACAAGTAATGTCCATGTACCATTCCTGGTATTATGTATGCTGGCTCAATGTCATGCATACACACTTTAGTAGAACAAAATTGTTGTTGACATTATTAATAATAATACCTGTGCTTTTGCTGCTATGACAAGTCAAGATGTCAAAGAAAAAAGTCTATAGAGGCACATGTAAAATATATAATGTAAAGTGTAAGGTATTAATCATACTGTACATACAAAAAGAGTTGTGGTGGTTCATATTACAGAAGAATATATACAAGCTCTATATAATATGTAAAGAAATAAACAAGTTGAAAATCTGGGTATTGGTTGGTTGGTTGACTGTCATAAATCAAAGGAACACATCTTCATATTAACAGGCAAAGTAACTTTCTCTGTCCTGCACTGCCTTTTGTATATTATTCCTCTTAATGCCGGTGTCAGTTCAGTGTATTGTAGAGGAGATCGGGGTGTGACAGTTCATTCAGGGAGTGAGTGGTCAGGTGTCAGGCAATGCAACAGATTTCTGCCATAATAATTTGAAATCTACTCTAACATGCACATGTAATCTCCTTGACAGCATGTCAAAGAGATCTCCCAGTTTAACCTAACATGCCCCATCAGTGGAGTGGGTCCTAATGTTGTACGTAAACTGCTGCTGGAGGAGAACTTGAAGATTCGTGCAAGAAAAGACAGCAAGGTGATCAGAGCCGGTGCACTCTGTTACTGTACATGCAAATCATTCTCCTCAGAATATCCTTTTCGTTACTTTTTGGCTTTCTCCATTTTCCCCACACATGGTATGATGCAGCTGGAAGTGGTGGCTCTACTTTTCTCAGATGTGCTTCTAATAACCAAAGTTCAGAAGAAAGGAGAGCGGCTGAAAGTGTTTCGACCTCCTCTTGCTCTTGACAGAACATATTGCATAGCACTGAAAGATGGCTGTGAGTAACATATTCTTACAGACACTGAGCCAGTTGGATAGATCCCATAATCATTTCTCTCCTTCTCTCAGGTTCATTTGTTCTTGTGGAGGTGGGTGAGCTTCAGAGTGCTATGAATGTCTACATATTTGCAACTAGCACCCCAGAGAGCTGCTCCACATGGGTCTCCACCATCCACCAGGCTAAAGTAAAAGATGGCATTTTTGACCAAATCTTTAGAAATGGTTGTAGTCATGTTTAGCTTTTAGCCATGCTAGCAGTGGGGCTGCTGGGATTGCAGCCTGGAGTCAGATGTCAAACAACTTTGGTTCAGACTAAAATATGTAGACAATTGTTGGATGGATTGCCAGATAATCATAAGTCCTGTTGACTTGGTGATTCACTGACCATTTCTCTATAGCACCAGCGGGTCAACATGTAGAAGAATAACACAAAATTTGATGGTCCAGAAGTTCATGTTCACATTTAACTGACAATTTAATGATTACTTGATTTTTCATCTTGTGCAGTTATCAGGCCACAATTTTCATTTGTTCAATAATGTGGTTTATGACTAAATACCTGGAACTAATAACATTCTTATTAGCCTCTGCTGTACTTTGTGTTTAGTGATGACTGGCAAATGTTAGCATGCTAACATGTTAAACTAATATCACGTGTGGGTTCATTAGGAAGTAGATGAATCATTCTTATTTAGAGAAGACAGCAAGATGGAGATGACTTTGTATAGCAATTCAGTTTTACTAGGCCATGCTTCTTCCCAACACAATCCCCCAGACAATGACAACACTTCCTGGGTCCTAAGTCACATGTCTCTTTGCTGACCAATCAAAAGCTAGAATGACATACTGTGTGATAAAAGCAAAGAAAACCATTCCTCGTCACCATTCAAAATTATATTAAAGTTACTGATGCAAATACTGCTACTGTATAAACACTGTAAATACATTAATGTTGTAACTTAACCAACCCTGCATGAATTTACTGAATTTCTCCTCTGATCCTTACACTAAGATGGTGATGCCTGCTAAACATTAGAATATTAATATTGTCATGAGCATGTTAGCAAGCTGATGTTAGCAAAAGACAGCTGTCCCAGTACACCCTTACAGAGCTGCTGGAATAGATAAAGAAAGACTCTTAGTTGTGTTATATGAAGCAGTATTACAAATAACATGCTTAGTGTTGAATGTTTTTTTTTTTTTGTGGTTACATTGACAGGAAACGCTGAGCAACCAGAGAGAAAGAGAGCTCAACAGACAGCTGGAGAACTGGAAAATCCAGCAGTGGGCAGCCAAATCTGTTACAGAAGCCAGGACAGATGATCTGGAGACAGAAGAACAACCGCTTACAGAATCAGGAGAGAAAACATTTGTCAATGAGCTTGCTGATGAAATTACTGACCAGCAGCCAATAAATGGGATGTGGACATCTAAAGAAGCAAAAGATGAGCATCAGCCTCCAAATGCTGAGGCCACTAACAGCACTGAATTACTTTTTAGGCAGTCCCAGTTGAACAGCAATAACCGTAAGCTGGCGAATAAAAGCTTTCTTTTTCCTGGTCGACAACAAGCAGTCAAAGGATGTGAATGGATAGAAATGGGGGTGAGGGAAGGTCAAGGTGGGAAACCTGTTGAGGACGAAGAGAAAATAGTTGAATCTCAGATGACAAATGAGCAAAGGATGACCTTTAACCTGTCTGCCCCTAATCTGGGTAATTTCATTACTGCTGCAAATGCATTCAAATACAGTACAACTGGAAGACGTACTCTTTTGTTAGAACAATTACCAGATGTTGACTACCCAACAAATGAGGATAGCGCTTTACAACCTCCGGATCAACCAACAGTAGCCAGGGAAGGGCCTGAGTATCAAAGTCTCCCTAAACAAAGAAAAATATCAACAAGGAGAAACTCAGGTTCCCAGTCTGTGAACCAGGATACCAGGAGATATTCCAGATACAGCCATTCTGAAGACATGGAGACATTTACAGAGACTCGGGCATTCTCCAAAAATTTGCAGTCACCTGGGGCAGTCAGCACCCACCAAAGCCCCTCGCCTCAAACATCCAAGCATTTCTTCCAGGATTCAACAGAGACCTCTGCCTCAAACAACTATGACTCAAAAAGCAGCCTAAACAATAAGCAAAACTCTAGTCAAAGCTCAGATTCACACCGGGTGCTCAAGCTGGGCTTTCTGAAGCTGAACCAAGGCATGTTTTGGGGCATGGATGGTAGAATCTCTCCAGATCTCCAGACAATGTCTGACCAGGAGGCAGATCTGAATTCCTATAACAGAAGGCCCAAAATGAAAAGCCAAAGGAGGGCTTCAATTCCTAACATTATCACTGAAGGAGAGCAAAGACTTCATCTGCCCTCCAGTAGCCGGTACCCTTTACCCCAGGAACAAGATACAGCTTCACCCGTCTCAGGACAGGGTCCATATGGACTCCACTCACCACTGGAGGGTCTTCTAGAAAGAGCCAAAGGACGAGATGGATTAAAGAGAGAGAGACATTTGAAAGTTGCCAGTGTGAGGCCAAGGTATTCTCCTTCCCTCACATTTTCCACTACACCTTCACTACCACCCATTGATGGAGACAGAGACACAGAGTGGGAGGAGGAGGTGGAGCTGATGAGACACAGAGCGCTCACAGTGAGTAAAGGATGGAAGGAGCAGCTGGTGGATGGAGATGAAGATGAGAGAAGGAACAGGTTAGTACTTCATGCATTATTTATTGTGTGACTCATTTACGTTATGTGTGTTACACAAGCTACGGTGACACATTTCCGAAAGTGTATTAGCATAGCTTAGGAACCTGCCACTAATAAAAGTCCATTTGAAAGTCACCCTACGCATGCAGATACACAAGTAACTTAATATGGCGCTGCAGTTTTATTTAGGTTTTTCAAAATATTTACATCCACTGCATCAAACACTAGATCTTCCTACCAGCCCATGTCACAATAAATAAACAAGCAACCAAATAAACATCCAATCAGTAAAATTTTATAAAACACAAAAAAGCCAAAAAAAAAAAAAAAAAACTGCCAGGGCATGTAAACCCTATGATATTTACCATCTTTAAGAATAAAAATACAGGCATGTTTGTGATCATTCAAGTCCTTATTTGGGCTTGGAGTCCAAGTCCTTATCCAGTCTACTTAAAATGGTCCCTAAATTTTGTGTGTTAAAATTTTCAAACTGTCAAGAGGAAGTAATTCCATCCAGACACAGTTAGAAGCAGGCTTGATTTCTTCAAGGTAGGTGTTCTGGAAAACAATTTTAATAATACTTTTAAGAACATGCAGGGCTGAGACGCAACCTTTTGTTTTAGTCAGGTCGAGCCAGATTTTATTGTTATAGCCAAGCATCACAAATCAAAGATTTGCCTCTAGGGACAAGCTTATTGTTTATGTTTGGTGTGCCCTCATAAATTGTGCTACTGTTGTCTATGAAGCTATAAAATGGTGCACACTGCACTGCAGGTTATTTGAAAGCAAAATGTGCCAAGTGAAAAATACAACATACATTGGATGAGTTTCTGTAACTGTTATTATTGTTATTTAGTTTTTTATTCATTCCTTTTTCTCAGCAATAGTTAGAACATGATTTACAATGCGCACAAAGACCAGATAGACCCGAATAAAAAGCAGACTAATAATATAAAAGGTTCAATTCTGTCAGAGCTCAGCCTCCAAGTCCTGTGTCGATTCAGTATCTTTTTTCCAGGACCGGACTGAATGCTTTCTGATGAGCCCAGGTTCTCTGACTGAAAGAGGAACACAACCCTGCTTTAACACCCACAGAGAGTTTGTATTATAGCAGATAGTCCACAGTGTGAAACTATGATTTACTTGTGCCATTTATTGGTGCAGATAGAGCTTTTCATTATTTGGCATCATGACAGATGCATGTGCTCTTAATACTCTGCGTTATGCTGGTTAAATTTACTTGCATTCGCCTTAACTGGGAAATTTATTTTAACTTGTCAAATCTCTACTATTGAAATGAGTTCAGTTTAGAGTAGGCAGATAATAAACACATTGTTCTATTTCGATGGAAACTTAAAATTACCATAAGGTGTTTTTCATGTTTCTACCTGCAACACTCTGCATGCACCCTTAAGTCTGAAGTAACATGTTTAATGCATTTTTTTATATTCCAAAAAAATTAACTAAAACATCTTTGAATGTTTATGTTTTTTACATCTAAGACTCTTACTTACTTTAATTGTTTATTTTATTTCCTTTCCTTTGTATTTTGTAGCTAACCCAGGGATTTTCTTATGGTTATACAATTTATGGAATTAATCAGAGTTTTTAAATAGCCTCATG